ACCCCATAGTGCTGAAGTTGCTGGCACCAGCCACCACACTGGACCCTTACGTAGGTGTTCGGAATAGAAATCCAGGTCCTCATGCTTGCATATTAAGCACCTTGCTCCCCATCTCTCTTTAAGTTAGGACTTCTTTATAGCAGAATAGTAAAAACTATAGCCCTTGCATAGATGGGGACGAGGGTGGCGAGACAAGGAAACAACTAATTTGTATCCAGGTCCATTTATTCACCATGGGGCTCATGATGAAAGCTGCATAAGTCACCTGTGAACCTCTTGAAATGCTGAAGACCCAGGCCAACATTCAGATCCACTGATTTGGGGCTGGGCTCAAGACTCCACATTTTAAAAGTACATCTAAGTGATTCTAAAACAGTTGATCAGGGACCATCTTTAGAAAAACACTGAAATTACTAGCTCCCCTCCCAACCACCCAACATATGTGGTATTAATACAGTAGCTTTTATGTATGTGAATCAAACATACCAAGCAGCTGACCTCAACCCATTGAAGTTGCTATGGAAACCAAAGGTGATGGAGGGTAACTACTTTCTAATGATAGGACTTAGTTCTTGTGCCAGGATAACACAGACTGCATCACGTTCTGCTATAAAAGAACAACAGCCAAACTTTTTTTTTTTTTGGTTTATATTTCTTTTTTTTTTAATTTTTATTAATTACACTTTACTCATTTTGTATCCCCCCATAAGCCCCTCCCTCCTCCCTTTCCGATCCCATCCTCCCTTCCTTTTCTGCATGCATGCCCCTCCCCAAGTCCACTGATAGGGAAAGTTCTCCTCTCCTTTCTGATCTTAAGTCTATCAGTTCTCGTCTAAAGTGGCTGCATTGTCCTCTTCTGTGACCTGGTAGGGTTGCTCCCCCCTCAGGGGGAGGTGATCAAAGAGCAGTCCAATCAGATTATGTCAGAGGCAGTCCCTCTTCCCATTACTAGGTAATCCACTTGGACACTGACCTGCCATGGGCTACATCTGTGCAGGGGTTCTAGGTTATCTCCATGAATAGTCCTTGGTTGGAGTATGAGTCTCTGGGAAGTTCCCTGTGTTCAAATTTTCTTGTTCTGTTGCTCTCCTTGTGGAGTTCCTGTCCACTCCAGATCTTACTATTTCCCACTTCTTACATAAGATTCCATTCACTCTGCCCAACAGTTTTCCCTAAGTCTCAGCATCTGCTTTGATAGTCTGCAGGGCAGAGGCTTTCGGAGGCCCTCTGTGGTAGGTTCCTAGTTTGTTTCCTGTTTTCTTCTTCTGGCTTTCAGAAGCCCTCTGTAGCAGGTTCCTAGGTTGTTTCCTGTTTTCTTCTGGCTTTCAGAGGCCCTCTGTAGCAGGTTCCGAGGTTGTTTCCTGTTTTCTTCTTCTTCTGATGTCCATCCTCTTTGCCTTTCAGGATGGGGATTGAACATTTTAGTTAGGGTCCTATCTCTTGCTTAGTTTCTTTAGATGCACAGATTTTAGTGGGTTTGTCCTATGTTGTATGTCTATATGAGTGAGTATATACCGTGTGTGTCTTTTTGCTTCTGGGACAACTCACTCAGGATGATCCTTTCCAGGTCCCACCATTTACCTGCAAATTTCATGATTTCCTTATTTTTCATTGCTGAGTAATATTCCATTGTATAGATGTACCACAATTTCTGCATTCATTCTTCAGTTGAGGGGCATCTGGGTTGTTTCCAGCTTCTACAGCCAAACTTTTAACTGGTATTTCCACCATAGTCAACTGACTCAAATCCTTGGCCCAGCCTGGATGGCTCTCAGCACCTTCCCCTACCTGCTTCATTCCTAGCACAGCTCGTGTGAACACCTTCTGACCCATTTCTCACCAGGGCTCCCTGTTATATTTCATATTCCACCCCTTCTCTCATGCTTTCTCCTCTAACTGCTCCTGGTTCTGTGAGAGACCGCAAGTGGAGAAGCAGTATGTAGAGAGCTGTAGCCCTACCTACCCTGGAGACATGAGGCCCAAAGGCTGCAGGTTGGACATACCTAAATGGTTATGTGGGTAACTCAGAACTGCCAGTTTTAATATTTTCAGAAATTCTCAAGTTGACCTGTAAAAAAAAAAAATCTTACCCCACATCTTTGCTCATCAGATTATCAGTGACAGAGGGAAGGAGGGAGGGAGAGATCATGCCATCGTTTTTCTCACAGTTCTCCACACGACTTCTCACCCAGAAGATGGGTTCCAAACACTCCTGGAAAGATGCCCATTTCTTAGCCTGTGATTTCTACTTTTCACTGGCATCTAAACCTGCCCTGGAGTCAGTGCACCTTGAATAATTCTATGTGGTAGACCATCTGCAAGCTGGCAATAGCACAGAACATATAACACTGACAAAGGAACTTTGGAATTTCCACAACTGTCATTCCTCCCTGCTGAACCTGTCCACCACTAGCCTGGGCTTATTGCCCAGAAGGCATTTGTATGTATAAAAGAAACTTTCAATTACCTTCGGAAAATAAAATGCTAAAAATTTCACTGCTGTGTTAAGGTGATGTATAAAACCCATTGGCTAATCAAGGGAAAAAAAAAATCACAACTTGATGCCATCTGATGTGTCTTCTGTTTTCCCTGTTTAGACTTACTTGTGTGTACATGACCTCAGGGCTGACCACTTGCTACTAGATAACCATTTCCTGGGCTCATCTGTGGGGCAGACTGATCATTGCTCCCTCAGCAATCATTAGTTTCCTATAGCTCTATGTCTATGGTGAGGTTCTGTGAGATTTTACCCATCCATGTTGCCATGTCAGTTGGTGCTGTCATTCAGGTCTTGTCCAAGCAGCCATACTGCTGTGGTGCAATAGGATTAGCTTCCCTGTCATTTCCAAGAAACACAATCTCAAAGCAGACTTCCTGGTCCTCTGGCTCTTACACCTTGTACCACCTTTCTGTCCACTTCTGCTACGATCCCTGGGCCTCTGCATGTGGGGACTGTGTTGTATCTGTGTTTGTTGGTACCAGGCACCCCATGGGCAGTCGTTCCCTGCAGCTTGGGCAGTTGTGGATTTCTGTTATGGTCTCCATCTGCTGCAAAAAGAAGTTTCTTTACTGAGGGAGAGAGTCACACTGATCTGTGTAAGGAAAAGTGTTTAGCAGTTAGGAACTGCGCTGGTTTACTAACGTGGCAGCAATAGGTTCTTCTCGGAGATCTTCATTTTTTTTTCCCCCAAAAGAACAACATTCAAAGTAAAACATGAACATTTAATTGCCTTTAAATAATACATGAAATAATTTACATGCTATACATCCCAAAACACAATGAACATAAATCCAATTCTATAAGACATTTACACAGATTTTTGCCAACATATGCCCTGCACGTCACTCAGGATGTTATCTGTGTGTAAGCACATAAACACGTATGTAAACGCAAAGTGGAGGATTAGCATAATGAACCAAAAAGATGACTGTAAGAAGTCTGCCATGGAAGAGTTGAAAACCACAACCCAACTGGACCCAAGGCACAAAAACTTCCTGTTGTGGCCACAGAGATTAAGTTTCCTTTCCCATGTCTAAACACTGTTAATCATACATTGCATTTTTTTTTTTTTAGTATATTTCTGTTACTTTTGAAAATGAAGTGTTTTTATTACATAAGGTCTTACAGAAGTGAACTGGAAAAATAAAAAGGAGTAGATAAAATCACATACAATAAAGTTTTCTTTTTTTCAAAAAGGATACATATGTTCAAAACCAGTACAAGAAATATTACAGATATAGGTGTAATCGGGAAATATATAAGGTAACATATGCAGATTTCTTAGTGCCCTTGAACTGTACCTCGTACCATCTGTGGTATTAAACTTTGTTTTAAAGCCACCTGATAATACTGCCAACTGTAAGTGATTTTTCGAAAAGATATGTATGTCCTACTGCACAGAATAAACAATGAGCCTAACAAAGCAAAATAAACCCTTTTCCAGAGTCAAGGCTGCTTTTGTTGGACATTAACTGGCTCCTCAGTGCTCCCTCTCTTGCCCTTCTATAATAAGCTAAAAGAAATATGTTCCACCTAAAAATGATTGCTTGAAAATTCACATAACCAAGCCAAATCTCCACTACCAGTACTCCCCTCTCCACTTCACCTGGAAGTCTGTAGGCAGGTACACTAAAGTGAACTGTTCCAGATCAGGCAGTTAAAAATGCATTTAGTACTCAGAATGCTTTAGAACTTTGTCACTTTAAACGTACAGTTATCACAGGATTAAAGCCAACCACAAAATAAGAATTAATAGAATGCAATAATCCGAAAGCAAATGCCAAATGTGCTTATACTAAGAAATCCGTCCTCTAAGCTGTAACTAATGAACTGCCAGCTGCAGCTCGAAACAAATGACAACCAGAACAAAGCCTTCAGTGGCATTAATTTTGAATATGGGTGGAGCTGGCCAATTACGAATTAACTACCAGAGTGTGTCTACAACTTTCTACGCAGAGTGCTGCAGTGTGGGACCCTGCAGTAATGAGAGTGCGGTTCTTACATGAAATAAGGCTGGGTAAAGGAGAAATCAACCATCTTGTCCTTGGCTGTAAAGCCTAAAGAATCAACTGAGAATTTACTTTAAGGCTGTCTCAGAAGTACTTTTCATGGCACTTCAATGTTTAAAACGTCACTAAATGGCAAAGTACGCAAACAGTCGCACAGCTCCAGAACATGCCATGTCAATCATTAAGGGTTCAGGTTGTCAGGTCTGTTTTCTCAGCGTTAAATTACACTTAAGGAAAGCATTTTGAGCTTGGCTGTAATTAACATCTGAATCAACAGGCTGTCAGCTCACTAGTGTGCTGTGTAAATCATTTCCAGTAAGTGCACACAATACCACTCACTTCTACAGAACGAGTATCGCTCTTGCTACAAATGGCACTTAGCTGCCTTATTCCTCTCAAGAGCAGTTACGATCCTTCTCTCCACTGTTCACCTGCTGCTAAGCGCCAGAGTCACTGACAACCCCCCTGGACAGACCATCCTCACTACACATTTCTTACACCACAGTCATCCAGGAAACGCTGAAAAAGGCTAACAAGTCATTCTGGCCACACCATACTCCAGGCTGACCACAGCAGGCTCCGACTTAGAAAACTCCTCAGTGTAGTCACAGTAACGGTTATCTGCTGGGCTGCTGCCCTCTACAGCTCGGAGCGTGTCGCTCACAGGAAGCAGACTCTGCTCTTTCAGACACAGGGAGGTTTTGAGGGTAGGCGATTCAGGGTGAACGGCATGCACCAAGTCCTTCGTTAGGATGCCATTTTTGCACTGTTTAATTTTCTACAACAAAACATAGAAAAAACTGTTAGTAACTAAAGATAATAGGTGATTGATCTATGTGAAAAGAAAACACACTTTCACAAATGTTCCCCTGGTGCATGATATACAACTATGAACTCAATAATTAAAAATTCTAATAGCTTAAAGCCTATCAAAGAAAACGCTTCATTAGGTTTTTACGTTTGTCAGTCGAGTCAACCAGATTTGACTGCACAGGTCACCAGGTCCTCACACGCCAGAAGCACACATGTTGCTTAGGAAGTGTAACCAGTAATCACTTTATAAGTCAGGGTGTAGAGGACATACGAGCGGAGTTCACCTGACTCAGCTGAAGGGCCTGCTGGCCATGATGCGCTTCTCAACGGGTGCCCCTCACTAGAGGTCGACAAGGGAACCCATCAGCCTCTGCAAGGTAACACAACTTTTTTTTTTTAAACATAATATTTAAAGTGCCCTGTGGCAGACAATTGTCTCATGCTGCCCATGTCTTGCCTTTTCTTTCTTTAACACTAACATGTCCCCTACAGTTTACTTGGTCATCACTTTCCCAGCTAAGAGACAATGAAAAACATCTGTCTCCAAAGTAGACAGGCCTGTCTCCCTGAACAAAAAAGAACTGTCTAGCATTTAAATATATATACACACACACACACACACACACACACATACACATTTGCTCATCCTTATTGGCTATACATGATGGCAGAGAAATTACTGCAGGAAAATGTTAGAGTGGAGAGACATTTAATGCACACATAACAAAGAGTAAAGATAACAACAGTAAGGTGGGGAAGACAGAACAGGCTAGACAATGCTATTTGTAATAACCCTAGAAAGAATTAGTATCTAGTATATAAGGAACCCTGACAAAAAGAAAAAAGGCAAACAGGCCAAGAAAAAAGTTAGCAAAATTTGTATGTTTATTCTCAACAAAAGAAAATAAAATGCCCAATAACCTCTCTTCATCTATAATCAAGAAACTCAAAATGGAAGACAATGTCATCCTGTAAATTAGACGACTCAGAATACTTACAGACTCTAGGTCCCTAATGTCTTCCTCTAACTGCTTGTTCTGCTCATTCATGTTCATAATTATGTTCAATACAGACTGCCGAGGATGGAGTGTCCGATCAAACTGGTGGTACATGTTTCTCCAAAACCTTTAGGACAAACAAATTTTAACCAAAACATCATTAGATGAATAGCGAGCTCTAGACCTCTCAGCACAGCAGGGAGGAAACAGCTCATACAGCCTGTTAGCTCTACAAACAATGGAAGAGAAGGGCTTGCTCAGCAACGATAAGCAGACAGAAGTCCCAACTGCTCTGTTCTGACTGCTAATTAGGTCCAAAACACCACCCTGCTCATAAACATGCATTGTATGTTCACTAAAATTAAGAAAATGACTTAAAACCACAGGCATGCTAACTATCTTGATTTGCTCATTATTATATACATACATACATACATACATACATACATACATACATACATACATA